TAGTTTTTTAATGAAGTGTTTAGGAGATGTATTCTACCTTTCAAATGAGTTGATTTTCCTCTCAGTCTTTCTGCGCTGTCTTTATTTCATACAGTATGGATGATTTTTGACTTTGGTTTCCAGTTATCATTCTGCTAACTCCCAGCATTCCCCCTTTTTATTACTGTATTTTTCCATGTATAAGACTATACTTTTGTCTAAAATCTTTAGACTAAAAATCGAGGGTTGTCTTATACATGGAAGTAAGCTGAAGACAGAACAAAAACAAGTGGATGGGAAAGCAGAGATCAAAGCGATCCTGCAGTGCTTTGATCCCTTTCCCCCTCCCTACACTTGCTAAGCCCCACTTAGCGTTCTTAGTTTTGGATTAGAAAAGTGGGGGGCATATTATATATGGGGGCATGTTATAGACAGAAAATACGGTATTTCAAAAGGCAAGGGGACATCTTTTGGAAAACAATCACACAATGTGGCCATAGAGCATTTGATCCGATATAGCTTTTATTTCTTGTCTACCCTGGAAATTGCAAGATAGCTTTCTAGTTTGCATTTGGTGGAAGTGGGCATGGCAACATTAGTTTACCTGAGTGGTTAAAGGTGTTTATGTTTTCCCATTGTATGTGTTGCACTTAAGTCCAAAAATACCTCTTCAACATGATTTTGCACAGAGAGACTTAAAGGTATACGCCAGTTGTTCTTGCTTCTGTCCTCTCCCTGCAACCATTTTACAGATAATGTGCTTATCTTCTATTTGTTTGTTTGTTTGTTCGTTCAACTTCTATACTATCCATCTGGCTACAAAGTCACTCTGGGTGGTTTAAAATAAAAAAAAATAAGACTCAAAACAAAGACTAGGATCCTCTAGCACTGGGTGATTCTACATTAGGGAAGTTTCTGTTGGAATTTGTGTGTAGTGCACATATATTTAAACTCCTGTTTAAAAAAACGAAGAAATTAAATTCTTTTTAAAAATCTCCAGAGGGTACTGAGCTTCTGTGCCTATGATTCAAAAAGCCAAGAAATGGACCAATATTGCTTCCCAATATTGTGCTTGCATTGCCAAGCTTTAGACAGACTGAATGTTGACAATACCGATGGCAGCAGTCAAGATGGTCTTTACAGGATACTTTCTTCTGCTCACTAGCATTGTCACTTGCCAAAAAACAGCCCTGACAATTGCATTGTGTTCGGGTGAGAAGTGGTTAACTGACGGAAAAAGTAGTGACGTTGGACTTGTCCACAAAGGCTAACATTAAAATATAGTTAGTCTTTAAGATGTCACAATGCTTTTTTATTCTTTTTAAATTTTATTATTTTTGTTTCATTTTTACCTGATAACGATGAAAAAAAAATAGTTGGCTTCTTGGATTTTCCCTTGCGTGTTGTCACTTTGTGAATGATAGTGAGCACAAGAATGCGTCTTGTAGACCATCTTGACTGCTGCCATTGGTGTTGTCAACATTCAGGCTGCCCTTTGCTATGTACAGCTTGGCATCCTTTTTTTCCTGCTGGCAACGCAGGCACAATATTGTGCAGCAATATTGGACCATTTCCAGAATTTTGGATCATGGATATCAAAACACAATATCCCACATTCATAAACGGGAGGTGTTTTGAAGAATTGATTTTCAGAATTCATGTACTAGAGCCCTGAGTGGTTTGTAAGAATTCTCCCACCCAGACTCGTGGTGGCTTTAGCCAAAATACCCCAGTCCTTTTAGGTGTCTATAATCATGGAAGAAGAAGCTGGACAGTACTAAGTTCTATGAGAACTGCAAAGCATTGTGGGTCTGGTAATCTTCATGTCTATTGGGCTCCATACAGGGTGCCTCTCAGGAAACTATCAAACCCACAATGCCTCGGAGTTTTCAGAGAGCTTAGGCCTGCTTTGGTATTTCCTCCATCTCCATCCTGTTCAAGATAAGCCACTATTTCTGAGCTGGAAATGATTATAGGCACCTGATCTTGGCAAGGTCACTGGGATAGATTCCCAACTGGGAATGCTGTTTCCCTACAACCAGTGAAAACATACGACAATTGATCCTGGCTCACCAAAAGCTCCCCATCCCATCTCTGCCAAGTGTTGATTCGTCCTGCTCCTTTCACTGCCTCTATATGTTCCCTAATGCCCAGCTGATTGCAGGGATGTGAATAGGGTTGTATATAAATATATAATGAAAATATATAAATAAATCTAATGGTCTGTGGGTTGTCCAGACCTGGTTTAAGAGGTTCAGTGCTGCTCCTTCCTCAGACCATCCTTTCTAAGCACCTGAGGAATTGCAGCTTGATTTAATATACATATATATAAAACAAGAAAAAAAATGTGTAATTTTCATTTGGATATTAAACTCACACATTACTGAGAGGCAAGGCATTCCTCCCAAACAGGCACAGATGTGTTTGAGAAGTAAATCAAGAAATGGTATAAACTCCCCCCTCCCCAAAGGTTCCATTGGCAAATCGCTCCATCATTTGCAGCCTTTATAAGGCACGTTGCTTGTTAAATAGATGGAGACGTTTCAGCAGCTGCACATGTCACTGCTTGTCAGTATTCTGGGAAATGCCGTTCGGTCGGAGGGCCTGTGTGGTCATGAAGATGCGAACTCCTTCAGCAATTGTGCTGCCTATGAGAGATAAACATGCTGGCGCCTAGATTTTGAACTCTGTCCTTTTATCTGTTTTTCTAAGACCACCGCTTGAATGGCAGGGCTCAGTCTACCTATTACCATATTGTGATAGTACAATGTTAAGTTAAACAAAACACAGAGCAAAATGAAAGGCACTTTGAGCAACTATTGCAAAGATGATGTGCAAATGTATGTAAATAATGTTGACATAATATGCAAATTGCATGCTCTATATTTTGGGCTTCGGCAGCTGTCAGTCCTTCTCAACAATAGGCTGAAGTGCTTCTGTGCGAGGAAGGCATCTGGCAGTCAATGGCTGGCCTTTTTCTTTGAATGTCACTACTGCCCTCTGCTGGACATACGTAATGTCCAAGCTTCTTTGCATCCCTCCTGTTGCAGGGAGCCTTCTTCTCTCTTGGCTTTCAGCGTGGAGCTTAGAAAGCAAAAGGAACGAATCCGATGGTGTAGGAGAATTTGCCATCTCAGGGTGTAAGAAAAAAAAGATTACCTGATTTCACTTTTAAAATGCTCAATGCCTTTCGGGCTGAATTTATGGCCTTCTTCAGGGGCTGTGCAAAGAAAATGTATAAACAAAGGACAGCACATTACATCTTTACACTTCGGATAGCTCAGTGGTTTAACTACCACTGAGCCTGAGCCAGAAGTTGGGAATTCGATTGGGCCTCCTTGACTGGGGAGGGGGCCCCAGGCTGGACTCGATGATCCAGAGGGTCCTTTCCAGCTCTGCAGTTCTAAACTATTGCCATCTGAAACTTTAATACACATTATTTACAAAAAAGGATCCATTCAGCATATTATAAATTGCATTTAACTGACAAATGTAGCCATACATTTTATACATGCTGTTAATTTCTCCCCCCCACTCCTTTTTGGTCTATACCCAGTTCCACTAGATTACTTCTGACATAATGGGAGAAAGGTTTCCTATTTATGGATGTAATCTTACTCCAGGTCTTGTTGGTGTTGCAGACACTCCTGGTCTGCAAGCCCTACGGCAGTGATGGTGAACCTTTTTGAGCCTGAATGCCCAAACTGCAAAAAAACAAACAAACAAACAAACAAACAAAACTGAAAAAAAACAAACAAACAAACAAACAAACAAACAAAAACCAACCCCTCCCCCACAAAACACCAACTCAACAGGCGGCAGGTGGCAGTGGCAGTGGCAGTGGTGGCAGAAGCGGGAATCCTGGGCACGGGGGTGCCTCCAGACCACACTCCAAATCCACCTCCAGTTGTGCCCAATGCTGCCACTGCCTGTATCTTGACCGGCCCACTGCTGCCAGTGCCAGCTGATCCGGATCCTGGCCCACCACCTGTCATGGTGCTAGCACTGCGGCTGCAGCCACCTCCTTAGGTTTGGCTGCCGGTTATGGCTTGTGTACCCATAGAGAGGGCTCTGCATGCCCACTGTGGCATGCGTGCCACAGGTTCACCATCGCTGCCCTTGGGAATACCCAGGAAATGGCACCTGCTAAAGAAGGGGTTATGGCTTGTGTACCCATAGAGAGGGCTCTGCATGCCCACTGTGGCATGCGTGCCACAGATTCGCCATCGCTGCCCTTGGGAATGTACCCAGGAAATGGCACCTGCTAAAGAAGGGAGAGTAAAATCTAATCCTTTATTGAAATCTTTGGGTGCCAGGGTTCCCTCAGTCTCAATATCCAGTTGACCTCCCTTTTCAGCAGAGCCTTCTCATGGCTTCTGTGGACAACAGTAAATCTTTAACCAACTAGTTGTCTGTGTGAAAATGACTAACCAGAGGGAAGTATGGAGCTGAAAAATGTGTTGCAAGCTTTTAGCCATTACAGCCTGAGGCAGCCATTGGAAAAAGTCTCACATTGGCAAAGTAACAGACGTGCACAACCTCTTTTGTGGTGGTCACTGAATGGTAGCATTGAAGGTGTTTCAGGGTTTATTTCCCATTAAAATATTATGTCAGAACATGGCTGGCTCAAGACGTTTGCCTGTCTGAGGTGAAGCACAAAGTGGTGGCACCTTTCCCTCATTAGGTAAAGGCCCTGACAGGACTACCGAGCGAACTTCACTCTGGTACTGTGATGAGACAGCGGAGCATTGAGGGGGAACAAGAGAAGTTGTATGGCACAGACGGCTCTGTCCACCAATGGAGTAGTTGTCCAAGGAAGAACAGGCAGAGCTGCCCTCCTTATGCCTCCTACCTGGGCAGCTACCTCACTCTGCCTGTTCATAGGGCCAGTCCGGAGACAGAAAAAGCCTCCATGAACAGGACTTTCTGCATTTAGACAGATAATGAATACTGCACTGTATAGACCGTATTGCCGATTCATTTTAAAATATGTGTATTCCCCCCCACCTCCATTTTTATAGAACTACTGGAAAAGTCGCTGGTCCTCTTGAACAAAAGCCATGACCTTACCGAATTTATAGAAGAATTCAAATCCGATGGGCCGAATATAAATCCAGAATTTGTTCAAGGAGCTCACAGTAGCTGCTTGAAAATTGATTGTCTCCTTGAAGTCCTGCAAGACAGGAGGAGGCACCTGGACAAATACCTGAAGCTGCAGCGCCAAGGACTGGAACAGGTTTTACAGATTTGTCAGTGGCATCACCAGGAAAACCAGGTACAGTCTGTGAGGGAAAAGGGAGAGAGAGAGAGAGAAATGTAATCTAAAAGAGTTCTGAGAGCTTGGGCAATATGAAAGTATGACTTTGCATGTAGGGTTCAGTTGCTTTATGGTTATGACTGTATGGCTAATGGGGTTCCATATTTGTGTGGTCTTAAGGTTTGAACCCATTGAAATCTGTGGGATATTAATCCTGAGAGATATCTGGCTGCAGAGCTAGAGGCTGGGAGTTCGATCCTCCATTGTGCCTCCTGCAAATAGAGCCAGCTTGGGCAGCCCTGGGCACACTGTACAGTCCCAGGGTGCCCCCCAGAAGAGAGGGTCAACCACTTCTACATATATATTCTCTATCTAGAAAACCCTGAAAAGGGTCACCATAAGTCAAAATTGTCTTGATGGCATACTATTGTTATTCTTAACCATGTTTGGAATTGCACTGTAATGTTGGCAGTCTATATACACAAGGTCCACTTAAGTCCTGCCCTGGTTACTCATGGAGTTATTGACTTCATTGGGACAAAGTATTATGTGACAGAGATCAAGTTTAACTAATCACCTACTTGTATATCAGTAGCGACTGTAAATCACTGGCATCCATCATGCAGTTTGTGGCCCACAAACTTTTATCGCAGTACTAAATTCCATTTTGAAATGAAACTGAGAGTCTAGTCCAGATGGCAGAGATCCGTAAGTTTGAATTATCACACACGCATAATAGTATCAAATACAAGGAAGCAAATGAAAATGTTTGAGGCCTCTGATTTGAATACCATGCTCATCTTACATTCAAAAATGTCTGTTCGTTTGACCTCACAGCCATATTTGTTGCACTCGCACTTGTAATTTAGATCATATGCATTTCTTTTTCATAATCCTGCAAGATGTCAAACTGCAGCTGGTAAAAATGTAACGTTCTCTTATGGAGACATTGATTGTCTGAGATGTTACAGATAAAGGATCTTGAATGTAAACATTATCAACCAGAAATGTAGAATAACAAAAAGATTGCATTAGTCCCATTGAAATTAAAGGGACAGGTTAATCATCACTAATATAAAGGGCCACTACTGTAATTTCAATGGGACTACAGTATGACTAAGTTAAAGTAAGAGATTGGGCAATCAGAGATTAAAAAATGGTTTCACCTAAAGGATAAAAATGTACAATGAGATGCAGGGTTGCCTTGCATTTATGTTCTTTGAATACAACAGTTTGCTTCTGTACTACTCAAAGGAGACGCAAGGGAGGGGGAAAAAGCTGATTACCTGTCTTGGAAAATGAATCTCTATCTAAATGAAGTCTTAGGTATATAGGTTTCTATACTTAGGGATTGTTTATATTTGGAATAGCAATAGGCCTCAGAATTGTATTTTTGATAAGAGGTTAAATCTAGTGTAAAAGAGATACAGTGGACAGCAACCATTAAATATTTGGAAGGGTCAATGATATATTTAAAACTCTCTCAAATATCAACTTCTCTTTCTTGCGAAATCTGCTCATTTCATCTTGCTTTCCTAGTTGTCCACGTTGAAGAACCATGAGCATCACGTCCGTTCCAATATGCTGAGCTATTTTCTTCCTTCCCCTCCTCCAAATTTTACACCTTTTTTTTTCCGGAATAAGAAACTGAAAGCTTCCCTTGTTTTAACATTTTAAAACAAGGGAACGTTGATCCACTCAACGTTCCCTCTAATTTTCAGCCCTGCTAGGCAGGGCTCTGCCCTTCGTGCCTATGACTCTGCCCCCATGCGGGGCTCCTTCGCAACCAGAACCAAAGGGGCTGGAAACGACCACTGTGACCAGAGGAGGAGGTATACCTCATGGGGGGGGGCCATACTAATGCAGTTGCATACCTTAGAGGGAACCTCGGATCCAGTACATTACTGAACCTAGCACCTAATGCCTCATTGGGGGTGTGTGCTAATGCAGTTGCACACCTTAGAGGGAAGCTTGGATCCAGTACATTACTGAACCTAGCACCTGGTTTCTGTAAGCGGAAAGCAGATGAAACAGAGGGGCAGTGCCGTGTCATTTATTTGCTGGTGCTTAATTTAAATTTATTTCTTATGTGAATAAGGGCTTGCCAAGTATATCCCCATCAGTGGTCCAGGCTTTATTGGTTCCAAACAACAACAACAAAAGATGACAGCAACAAATACAATTAGTTGTGTATACTAACAGATGCTGACTGACAATTGACTAAACAGATATACTGTATTGATGTGTTGCTGCTCAATTTATTTGATCCTGTGGTTCCGGTTCTTAGGTCTTGGCTAGACAGATAAATTGGAACAGGAAAAATAGGGTTGTTTTATGTTGCATAGAGGTGTCATTTGGCATTTGGTGAGATCTTTGCATCCCCATGGCATCCACAACTCGAGCAACCCTATTTGGGCCACCTCCATTTAAAGGGAAAGAAAAAAAATAAAAACAATCCCCCCCTTTGCTCCCTTCTGTCTCATTCTCCTTCGATAAAGAGGTTTTTGTGTTTTCCCCCATAAAAAGTGCAGAGCATCAGTGCTCCCTAAGTAGACTTTTTAAAACCCCAAATATTTGCTTCTTCCATTCCCTTGCAGAGAGGAGCAGAGGAAGTTTCTAATTTCCCAATATTGTTAAGTGACTAAGCTGTCTGTTTAAGCCACTTAACAATAGTGGGAATTAAGAGTGGATGGGATATTGAAAGCAGCAAGTCATTTGCTTTGATTTGATCCCAGAGATTGCACATGCTGGAGCAGAACCAAAATGGAGGAATCCTATCCACATCTAATAAAATGTAGCCCCTGACAGGGAGCCAACAAGATGTGGGTAAAATGGCTGGCACTCATGTCATGTGATTGCTGGGAAAAGGAGCAGACCAAGCCATCCCTAAAGCAGATCAAATAGTGAGAGAAATGTCCATGTAGTCTCTTCCTTAATTTTCTTACTGCATTTGTAGCTGTAGCTGCTAACACACGTGGCTTTTCATGGCTGATCTGTCTTTGTTATGCCAAAGGAATCTTCTGGTGCAATTCTTGCTCATCTTTTCCCAGTATAATTGCTATCAGCTTAGGCAATTAACTATGTAATGTTCTTCACTCACAAAGGTATAGAATTTAAAAAATTACAAATTGTGAGTTTTGAAACTTTTACTGTATCTTGGATACTGAAATGTGAAAAGATTATATGTGGATTTCCCCATGTTCTTCATTATTTCCTCGTTCTGATAAACTAGTCTGTTCTGAACAGGGATTCTCAAATTGATTTTAGTAGAGGAAGATAATTTTCTTAAATAAAACTCCATACATCTACTGCATGCATTGAAGGGGATTTGAATCTGTTTCTAGATCCATAGGTTCTCTGAGTGCATTGGTGGTCACATGTTCAGGTCCAGTCACTCAACTGAGGCATTATTGATAAACCCAGAATTGACACTGATCTATCACTTCTTTCCAAAAGCCCACATTACAAAGATATACCAGCTTACTACCAAGCTATCATGAAACAACCTGGCCTACGGATTCTGCTGTCCAAAAAATTAGTTCTTCCAAGCTCTGTACCACCTCCAGATCAGACAGCTCTCTGGAGATCAACAAGAAAAGAGGACTTTTGTTTCAATGCCCCATTTGTGGACTCCCCAGAGGCAATGGATTGGCTGATGTGAGGAACGCAGTGCCAGACTAAGGGCCTGTCCACACTGGCATGTATATATGATATATGGATTGCTGAGGGCATAGTTTGGGTTGGGGGGGGAGACCTTGCCTACCAGTGTTTCTACTTGGAACAATCTATCCTTCCTTTCCATTTAAGAGCTGTCTCACACACCTTTCTGGCCCAGTGGTAAGGCATGCAATCTTTTTGGCATGCACATGAGCCAGGGGATTCTAAGGGAAAGTTTGAGAGAGACAGTGTAGGGAGAGCAAGGGAATGGAGAGAATGCAACAACACTGAAAGAAGGAGAAAGAAGAGAGGTATGGGAGGAGCATACCAAATAGAACAGTGCTACTTCTTCTCTCACAACATCAACAAATCCTTTGTAGCCTGTTCCACTCCACACGCAAAGCGGCCAGTCTGAACGGGCTTTTATGGGCCAGTGCAGTCTTATTCTTGCTACACAGGCTTCATAGTTCTCTGCAGCTTGGCAGTGTTAAATCTGTGAGGTTTTATACTTTTTTAGACCACCCCTCTTTTCTAATCCATGGGAGATGATTACAGTACCTGTTTCCCAATGGATTGGAGTTCCTAGTATAAAAAGGAACTTTAAACCAAAAAGTCATGTAGTGTTGTACGGAAGTAATCTTACCATGCACGTAAGAAAGTGATGCTTTGTATTCTCTGAAATAGGTGGCAGCTCAGGGATATAAATTAAACATGCAAATGACAGCAGCCTTGTGTTGCAGATGCCTCTCAACCAATAGGCCCCTGGAGAGTGCCAGACTACCTGTTTTGTAATGTGTGATGGGTACTCTTATAAATCACACATTGTTCTTTGCATTTTTATGTAAAATCCCACCAGTGAAGCCTTATCCATTTGCCTGGGCTCACTAGGAGACTCTGAAGCATCCATCAGATGGTAGTGAGTGCCCAAGGGAGGGCCAGATTTACCCGTTTTCTTGAGGAGATTGATTTGCATCCAGAACAACGAATTCTGCATTCCTACAAAGGTGTCGTACTCACAGCCTCTGGCTATAGACTGATTGCTGAGAACAAATCTCCATTTTAAAGTAATATAAAGGGGAAAGTTACAGAATGTAAGACTACAGCCCTTTTCTCTGCATGTCGGGAGGGCATGATGAATGAGAGCTCATGAGACAGGGTGCGATGCCATTGGCTGTGGTTCTGTTTTGTCTCCTGAGAAATGTCTGGTTAAAAATATTGGAATGTGGTATTTCAAGTCCATGATGTGCATCCTCAGAAATGTTGCAAAGCCAAACTGCCCTCCTCGTCGTCATCATCTTAGAACTGCAGAACTGGAAGTATTTCAAGTCCATGATGTGCATCTTAGAACTGCAGAACTGGAA